GGGAAGGCTTGGCCGAGATGTTTGTGCGCAAGGTTCGTGACCAACAGCTGCAACCCCTGAGGGTTGAATGCTTTGATGGTCTAAGAAATCACCAAGGAAGAAGGCCTTAGGGCTAATGCGAAGAGGTACTACGAGGTGTTCAACCGAATAACCCGATGCAAACTAGGAAGTAGCAGTCGTGTCTTTCAAGAACGCTGAAAGGATGACTGCCCACTACGGAAGTCTTTGGCAAAAACATTGCAAAAACATGGAATGGTGGGGGGTGGTGGGTGGTAGATGGGTGGTGGTGGTGGGTAGTGGTGGCAGGTGGGTGGTGAGTGGTGGTGGCAGGTGGTGATGGAAGGTGGGTGGTGGGTGGTGGTGGCAGAAGATGGCGGTGGAAAATGGTGGCGGGTGGTGGCTAGTGGTGGGTGGTGAGTGGTAGTGGTAGGTGGGTGGTGGGGGATGGGTTGTGGGTGGTGGTGGCAGAAGACGGTGGTGGAAAATGGTGACGGGTGGTGACTAGTGTTGGATGGTAAAAAAAAAAAAACTCAAAACGGAAACACATTTTTTTAGTTTACATTTTTTGGCCAAATTTATAAACTGAGACTATTAATTTATAAATCAAAAATTTACCAAACAAATTTTTATAAATATAAATAGAAAATTGAAAACGTATAAAAAAATCGACTTTGACCTTTTTTTAGCTCTTCTCAACAGGCCCGGAGTCAAGGAAATTGCATATATGCAGGAGCGGAGGCAAAGCGGGTTGAGGAGGGTCACGTGTCCCCTCAGTTTTGAATTTTCTTTTTTTTGGTTATAAAATATATTCTCTCTTTTTGTTAATATGTTGTTTGGCTAAGAGTTTATTGTATTGTTTATAACAAGTAGTTAGGCCTCGTTTGGGAACAGATTAATTTAGTAACTTTTTGGCTATCTGGCTAAAAAGGTAGGTAAAAAAACTTGTATGTTTTGGATGACTTTTTGACTAATTACGAAAAGATGTGCAAAAAGTAGAGAGAAAAGAGAATCTTTGACTTTTTGGTATAGATTGTTGACTTTTTTTTGGCTAATTGGTTAAAATAGCCTCTTGCCAAACGAGGCCTTATTTGATACTTTAGCCATAAAAGACAGCAGGTTGAGCGGGGTCCGTTTGGGAAGATAGGTTGTGGACTTTTTTGGCTATTTTAGCCATAAAAGACAAAATAGACTATTTTAGCCACAACAAACAAAACATCACATCCAACCCATAATCATTACACTCTTCTCTCACAAAAAAATCAAATAACCCTTCCCAAA